GTGCTGAGAGCTCAGAGCCTAGAGCCTACTTCAGATTCTGTCTCCCTCTCTCTCTGCCCCTCCTCCACTCACCGTCTCTTTCTGTCTCTCAAAAAATGAACAAAAATGTTAAAACGTATTTTTAGAATAGAAGGAGAGTTTCCCAGACAAACAAAAGTTAAAAGAATTTGTGACCATTAAAATAGCCCTATGAAATATATTAAACAGGACTCTTTGGGTGGAAAGGAAAGCCCATGAGCAGGAGTAAGAAAAGTAGGAAGCACAAAAGCAGTAAAATTAAGTTTATATGTAAAAATCAGGAGATTCACAAAATAAAAGGATGTGAAGTATGACATCATATACTTAAAACATGGGTGGGGAAGAGTAAAGGATGGGTTCAAACTAAATATAGACTTAATGGTAACAACAAGTCAAACACTAGTAACAGATATGCAAAAAAAGAGAGACAGAGACAGAGAGAGAAGGGAATCCAAGTATATCACTAAAGAAACCCAGTAAATCATGAGAGAATAAAGCAAGAGAATAAAGGAACAAAGAACTACTAAAACAACCATAAAACAAGTATCAAATGACAATAAATGCAACCTATGAATAATTACCTTGAATGTAAATGGACTAAATGCTACATTCAAAAAGACAGAGTGAGGGAATGGATTAAAAAAAGCAAGACCCATCTATATGCTACCTATAAGAGACTCATTTCAAACCTAAAGACACATGGAGATTGAAAGTGAACTGACAGAAAAGCATTTATCATGCAAATGAAAGTGAAAAGAAAGCGAGGGTAGCAATAGGCATATAATACAAAATAGACTTTAAAACAGATTATAACAACAGACCAAAAAAAGGACACTATATATTCATAAAAAAAAATCCAAGAAGATATAAACAATGATAAATATTTATACATCAACATGGGAGCACCCAAATACATAAAGCAGCTAGTAACAAACATAAAGGAAGTAATTGAGAGTAATACAATAATAGTAGGGAACTTTAACACCTCACTTACATCAATGGATAGATCACCCAAACAGAAAATCAACAAGGAAACATTGGCTTTGGATGACACATTGGACCAGATGGATCTAACAGATATTCAGAACATTCTATCCTAAAACAGCAGAATTCACATTCTCTTCAAGTGCACATGAAACATTCTCCAGAATAGAGCACATATTAGGCCACACAAGTCTCAATAAATTAAAAGAGACTGAAGTCATAATACTATGTGTCTATTCTGACCACAACTCTATGAAACTAGAAGTCAGTTACAAGAAAAAATATGGAAGAAGACAACTACCTGGAGGTTAAGTAACATGCTATTAAACAATGAATGGGCCAACCAAGAAATCAAAAAGGAAATAAATACAGAGAGAATGGAAATAAATATAGACAGACAACGAAAATGAAAACATAATGGTCCAGAATCTTTGGGATGCAGCAAAAGTTGTTCTAAAAGGGAAGTTTAGAGCAATACAGGCCCACCTCAAGAAGCAAGAAAAATCTCAAACTAATCTTTCACCTAAAGAAACTAGAAAAAGAACAAACAAAACCCAAAACCAGTAGAAGGGAGGAAATAATAAAGATCAGAGCCCATATAAAGTACAGAAAAGCTAAAAAAAAAAAAAAAAAAAAAAAATCAGTGAAACCAGGAGCTAGTTCTTTGAAAAGATCAACAAAATTGATAAACCTTTAGCCAGATCATGGGAGGAAAAAAAAAGTGAGAGGACTCAAACACATAAAATCAGAAATGATAGAGGCAAAATAACAATCGACACCACAGAAATACAAAGGATTATAAGAGAATATTATGAAAAATCATATGCTATCAAATTGGACAACTTAGAAGAAATAGACAAATTCCTACACACCTAGAACCTCCCAGAACTGAATCAGGGAGAAACAGGAAAATTGAACAGACTGATTATCAGCAATGAAAATGAGTCAATAATCAAAGACTCCCAACAAACAAAAATCCAGGACCAGACGGCTACACAGGTGAATTCTACCATTTAAGGAGGTTAATACCTTGTTCTCAAAATATTCCAAAAAATAGAAGAGTAAGGAAAGCTTTCAAATTCATTCTAGGAGGCCAGCATTACCACGATATCAAAATCAGATAAAGACCCTACAAAAAGGAACTATAGGCCAAAGCTCTGATGAACATAGATACAAAAATCCTCAACAAAATATTAGCAAACAGAATTCAAAAATACATTAAGAAAATTATTCACCGTGATCAAGTGGGATTTATTCCTGGGATGCAAGGATGATTCAATATCCACAAATTATCATCATTGTGATCCATCACATCAACAAGACCAAGGATAAAAACCATATGATCACTTCAGTAGATGCAAAAAAAAAAAAAAAAAGCATTTCACAAATCATAACATGCATTCATGATAAAAAGTCTCAACAAAGTAAGTCTACAGGGAACATACCTCAACATAATAAAGTCTGTATATGAAAAACCTACAGTTAACATCATTGAACTCAGTGAAAAACTGAGAGCTTTTCCTCTAAGAGTAGGAAAAAGAAAGGATGTCCACTGTCACCTCTTTTATTCAGCATGGTACTAGAAGTCCTAACCACAGCAATGAGACAAAAAGAAATAAAAGGCATCCATATTGCTAAGGAAGAAGTAAATCTGTCACTATTTGTAGATGACATGATCCTATATGTAGAAAACCCTAAAGACTCCGTTAAAAAACTGATCAATGAATTCCATAAGGTTGCAAGATACAAAGTCAATATATTGAAATCCATTGCATTTCTGTACAGTAACAATGAAGTAGTAGAAAGAGATAGTAAGAAAACAATCCCGTTTAAAATTTCACCAAAAATAATAAAATACCTAGAAGTAAACTTAACCAAGGAGGTAAAAGAACTATACTATGAAAACCATAAAACATTGATGAAACAAAGACAACATAAACAAATGGAAAGATGTGCCATGCTTGTGAGTTAGAAGAATTAGTATTGTTAAAATGTCCATACTACCCAAAGCAATCTTCAGATTTTAATGTAATCCCAAACCAAATAGCAATATCATTTTTCACAGAACTAGAACAGCCCTAAAATGTGTATGGAACCAGAAAAAAAGACCCTGAAATAGCTAAAGCAATCTCGTGAAAGAATAAAATTGGAGGTATCACAATCCCAGATTTCAAGATGTACTACAAAGCTGTGGTAACCACAACAGTATGGTACTGGCATAAAAATAGACACACAGATCAATGAAACAATAGATAGCCCAAAAATAAACCTGCAATCATGTGGTCAATTAATCTTTGACAAAGGAGGTGAGAATATGTAATGAGAAAAAGATAGTCTCTTCAACAATGGTGTTGGGAAACTGGACAGCTACATGCAAAAGAATGAAACTGGACTACTTTCTCACACCACACACAAAAATAAACTCGAAATGGATTAGGACTTAAATGTGATGCCTGAAACTATAAAAATTCTAGAAGAGAGCAAAGGGAATAACCTCTTTGACATTACCCATAGCAACATTTTTCTAATAATGTCTCCTAGGGCAAGGGAAACAAAAGCAAAAATAAACTATTGGGACCCACCAAAATAAAAAGCTTCTGCATAGCATAGAAAACAATCAACAAAACTAAAAGACAGTCTACTGAATGGGAGAAGACATTCACAAATGACATGTCTGAGAAAGGGTTAATATCCAAAAAATATAAAGAACTTAATGCAACTCAGCACCAAAAAACCAAATAATGCAATTAAAATATGGGCAGAAGACATGAACAGATAGTTCTCCAAAGAAGACATCCAGATGGTCAACAAACCCATGAAAAGATGCTCAACATCACTAATCATCAGAGAAATGCAAATCAAAACCATAATGAAATATCACCTCACACCTGTCAGGATGGCTAAAATAAAAAACACAAGAAACAACAAGTATTGATGAGGATGCAGAGAATAAGGAACCCTCATGCATTGTTGGGGGATTACAAACTGGAGCATCCCCTTTGGAAAACAGCATGGAGGGTCTCCAAAAAATTTTTAAAAAATAGAAGACCGTATGATTCAGTAATTCCGCTATAGGGTATTTACCCATGAAATATGAAAATGCTAATTCAAAAAGATATATGCAGCATTTATGTTTATTGCAGCATTATTTACAACAGCCAAACTATGGAAGCAAACTGTTTATTGATAGATAAATGGATAATTGAGGATGTGGTATATATATATACACAATGGAATATTACTCAGCCATAAAGAAATGTCTTGCCATTTGCAACAGCATGGATGGACCTAGAAGTTATAATGCTAAATGAAATAAGTCAGAGAAAAACAAATACCATATGGCTTCACTCATATGGAATTAAAAAAACGAAACAAATTGAAGAAAAAAAAAGAGACAAACCAAAAAACAGACTCTTAATTACAGAGAACAAACTGATGATTACCAGAGGGAAGGTGGGTGGAGGGATGGGTGAACTAGGTAAAGGGATTAAGAGTACACTTAGCAAGATGAGCAGAGAGTAATGTGTAGAATTGATGAATCACTATATTGTATACCTGAAACTAATAAAACACTATGTTATTTATACTGGAATTTAAAAAAATTTTCAGTTTTTTGGGATAAAGTTGGGTAAGGTGGGTAACAGGAGGCTTTTTCATTTTAACTTGTATCTGTATGTAATCTCATTACCACATTGCTATTTTTTTTTTTTTTTAACCTCAACAAGGGTTAACTAGCAGGGAGATTCTGGACCTTATTTTTTTCTATTAATACTATTATTTAGAATAGAATAGTTTGCAAATATAATATAAAAAATGAAAATGGCTAGTAATGACAGATGTATCAAGTTTCTTAGACAATGACAAAATCTAGTTTTGTTTAGATAAGTAAAAACTGATAAAGCCTTTACTCTTACACATATATTTTTCAAAATAAAATATTTTATAGTGTGTCTGTATGATGATGTTATTATTAACCTTTGGTTGTATCTTCCTTCCAGCAATTTTACCTGCTCAGGAATGGAAACCTCCTCTTCCTGCTTATGATTTTCTAAGTATGATGGATGCCGCAGCATCTCAACATCCCACAAGGAAAGAGCCTGAGTGTACAAAAGAAACTAACATGCAAAAGAATGATAAAAAACAACATGAAGAAAAATCAACAATCAGAAAAGAACCAGTTGAAACACTGAGAATAAAGCATTGGAATAGAAGTAATTGGTTTAAAGAAGGAGACAAATCATTTAGGCATGACAATAAAGAATTGTGATGCTCAAAAGATTTATGAGCTGGTTTCATAGGGCTGTGGAGAGCTTTACAAAGTCTTTGTAGCTTATTTGGTAGACTGAAGAATTTATTATAAATTAATACTAAATCACTTCCAGTCTCTAGGCCATTGTTGTCCAATGGAAATATAATGTGAGCCATATATGTAACTTAGAATTTTATAGTAGCACCTTTAAAAAAAGTAAAAGCAGATGAAATTAATTTTAATATTTCACCAAGTATACCCAAACTAGCTCAGTTAACATAAAAATTACGATATTTTTACATTCTTTTTTTCTGTCAAGTCTTCAAAATCCAGTGCGTATTTCACCCTCACTATGCATCTCCCTTCTGATGTGGCTAGTGACTGACTACTGTATTGGAAGTTCAGCTCTAGACAAAAACCGGTATAATTAATTTAACTTGGGTCTAGCCATGATATATTTTGAATTAGAATAAAAATTTAACTCTAGGTTAATCATAGTTGACTTCAGAGTGTTATCATACAGCTGGAAGTTGTATTTGCTTTGTTGTAGACATGATGTTAAAACCAGTGTTTTTAAACCAAGGAGTTTTGCCCCGAGGGGACATTTTGCAATGTCAGGAGACATTTTTGCTTGTGACTAAGGGTATTACTAGCATCTAGGGGTGGGTAGAGGCCACGGATGCTGCTAGATACCCTATCATGCATTGGACAGCCCCTCACAACAAAGAATTATCCTGCCCAAATATCAGTAGCGCCAAGGTTGAGTAATCTTGTTTGAAACTAACCTGTGGTAGAATGTTCTTATTCTGCTTAGTTATATTTGAAAAAAATCTTGGATATTAAAGATAAATACATATTAGGTGGTCTTATCCCAATTATATCTGAACACAACCATATCTTTTATTATAAATTCTTTTTTATATTTTTGAACAGTAATGAGATAACACTAAAAAGGACTCAGGATCAGATGTATACACACACACACACACACACACACACAATTATGTACATTATAGTTATGTATGATAATCTATATAACGTATGTTTATAATATATAAAAATGTATATAAGGGGCGCCTGGGTGGCGCAGTCGGTTAAGCGTCCGACTTCAGCCAGGTCACGATCTCGCGGTCCGGGAGTTCGAGCCCCGCGTCGGGCTCTGGGCTGATGGCTCAGAGCCTGGAGCCTGTTTCCGATTCTGTGTCTCCCTCTCTCTCTGCCCCTCCCCTGTTCATGCTCTGTCTCGCTCTGTCCCAAAAATAAATTAAAAATGTTGAAAAAAAAATTAAAAAAAAAAAAATAAAAATGTATATAAGAGAATCTTAAAATCTCTTAATTCTACAAGTTATATTGCTAAGTTGAAGAGAATTTAAACATTCTGCTATCCTCTTCACAAAAAGGCTCCCCGATCTAAGCCATGTGTGAAATGTACCTTTGTAAGCTTTGGAAAAATCAATTGGTCTCCCTCATCTATATAATGGAGAGGAGAAGCCATAGAGCCTCATCTATATAATGAGAGGGAAAGATTAGCCAAAAAATTAATTTTTCATTCCAAAAGCACTTACTTGTCAGGGTTATCTGTTTGTAGCAGTTTGTCTCATTTTTGCTTGGTGCATATTTTTGAGACATTTGTTGAGAACATCGTACTTTGCGCTCCACTATATTTCTCCCTTTTAATACATCCTTGGGGTATCTGGTTCTTGAAATTTTCTGCACATACAGTTTGCCTAGTACAATTGGGTTCATAAATAGAATCTTAAAAAGCAAAAATAGCTATATTTCATTGTAACATAGATCATTTGCTACTGTTAGCACCCCCTTCTTGATATTTTTCCTGTAGCATGTAATGGATATTATATCAGTTCATTCTCATTTGTTTTGATTTCTAACATGGGAGATATGAGAATGAACTCTAATTATAGTTGTAGCAATAAAATAACACTAGCCTAACCATTAGAAAATGCTAATTAACTATAAGCACACAGAAACATAAAATAAATTATTGTACCATACCCAATTTGACAGTTGTTGAGATGTTCTTTTAATAATTTCAAATAAAGTATCTAGATTTCAGGCTACCTATGTTCAAAAGCTTCCTTTGACCTCCGTCATGCCCTCTGTTGGACCTGTATCAATGGATACTGTATTATCAATTGACCTGTATTACCCTGTATCAATTGGGTTTCTTTGGTTGCAGGTAACAGAAACTTAAGCAAAATGGGAATATTGGGTAATTCAGAGAGTTAGAGGAAAAATTAAGCCACATTTTAAGAAGATGGGAACCAAGGCTGTTCTAGGATCAATGTATGAGAAACTAACAGCTCAGTGATGAATCAGTTCCAACTGCTTTTCTATCTTTTGTGACTCAGGGCATCCTGGGAAACTTGGATAGGGGAAGAGTGGGCACTTTAGTTGGGAGCCCTAACCAGACTTTCACAATGCAGAAGAGGTAAATCTCACAAAAGAAGTCTAGATTCTGGGGGCACGTGGGTGGCTCAGTCAGTTGGTGTTCAGCTCTTGATTTCAGCTCAGATCATGATCTCCCAATTCATGAGATGGAGCCCTACATCAGGCTTTGCATGACAGCATGGAGCCTGCTTGGGATTCTCTCTCTTCCTCTCTCCTGCCCCTCCCCTTGTGCTCTCTTCCTCAAAGTAAATAAGTAAACATAAAAAAAATAAAAGAAAAAAATCTAGATTCTGTTTACCAGAAAGTGAGAGTGAATGTAGTGAGTTTTCTCACAACACCACTTGCTGTTCTTCTATCTGTTCTTTGTATCCTTTTCAGGGTTTTCTGTCATATACTCCTGTTCATTTTTGAGAGCTTCAAAAGCCCTCTCTCTAACACCAAGTGGTTATAGTTTTCCTAAATGTCGCCCCCACACACACCCCGGTCTTCTAGAAGACTTGGTGGCCACTTCACATGTACATTCTGCAGAATGTCTCTCATGAATCAGATTCTTTCACCCTCTCTGGCCTCACCTATGCTGGAAGGTCAACATTCTTAGTCCATTGCTTCCAGCTCTGTGATGAAACATCCCATGGACAGTTTTTCAAAATTCTTAGAGTTCCTCATCTGAGGTTATGCTGCTTTAAAAAGCTAAACATGTACATTAGCAGAACAATAGACTTTACAAATCAGTAAGTATCTATCTTTGGCAATAGAACGTAATCAAATAGGTATACCTTGGGAGCTGTGTCTCCCCTTAGGATGTAGAAAGCTGCAAGAGAATGTTACCCCATCCTAACAACAAGAAATCATAATTAAAAATTTTTTAATGTTTATCTATTTTTGAGAGAGAAAGAGACACAACATGAGCAGGGGAGGGGCAGAGTGAGAGGGAGACACAGAATCTGAAGGAGGTTCCAGGCTCTGAGCTGTCAGCACAGAGCCTGATGCAGGGCTGGAACCCACAAACCACAAGATCATGTCCTGAGCTGAAGTCAGATGCTCTAACAACTGAACCACCCAGGTGCCCCATAAATCATAATTTTCCTTAACACCCATCAAATAAGGTAACCAAAGGAACTCAACAAGACCTTTCAAGGGGAGACAGGATACATGAATGGTTTCCCCTTTGGCAGAGAATAGAATACTAAAGCAGAAAGATATATATATCTTTGGAAGAGTCTAAGATTTTACTTTACCTTCAAATTATAAGTTAGTGTGCCACAGTTTCCTGAATCAGAGAAAAAGGACTTTATTACTCACTGTAATAGCATTTATCAGAGGGTCAGTATTTGTACTAGATCTCTGATCCCCAATCCCACAGTGCCATCAGAAGAGGGCCAGGTGAAACCTATATAGGCAGTGGGTTGCACTGCAAGGGAGGAACCCTGAGCTCAGAGAACCTACATATTTTGTAATAGGTATTAAGCATGCTTGCCCTCGAGGGAGACATCTTTATGATAGTAGACAGTAATCAAACCTATCTGTATTTTCCCAGGCTGAAAAGGTGGTCCAAAATGAAGTCAGTGCTTCTATTCATAAATCACTTGGAAATAGGAGACCCTGGAAGAATTGTCTTCCAACAGGAATCACCTGAATTTTTAGAGTATTCTTTAAAGGCCAAATGTGGATTAAAATATACCCTTAGAATAAGTGGGAGCCCTGATATGACAGTAATTAACATTCATTTACTCAGGGTTTCCTTCCTATAAATCTCCACTGGGTACTAATGAGAAGTAGGGAAGGAGCTTGGTAGGAAGAGATCCCTCAGGGACAAAACATGCAGGTAATGGTTGATGGAATGGTATTGCATGACAGACGTGAAACACTACTCACTTCCTCAGACCTTTCTCTGGTATAAGAAAGCAATTAGACACTGGTGGAGACAGAGCAAACCTTCCTGCATCCAGGGCCCATTGCCTCTGGGGAAGGGGTAAGTACAAAACTTTTTGCCCTTGGAGAGAGGCAGAACATCTCTTGGGCCCAGGATCCTGCCCCAATACCAAGCAGAAACCTATTACTGGGAGGACATAAGAACACTTCTGTCCAAGAACTGTGAGTAGTGCCTCTGCCATGTTTAGCTGCCATGGGGGAGGAGCCAGAAATTCTGAGAAGGTACTACCACGGGTACCAAGTACACAGACCCTACCTAAGTCTGAGAATGGCCAAGGAGAACCAAGAACTCTACCCCCACCCATCATCAGCTCAGTATGAAATAATAAACAATAGCAGTTTGTGACTTCGGGAAGCACAAGATTGTGGGATGACACAGGCAACCAGGGCTTGCTGAAAACTGAGGGTAGAGCCAGGAAATAAACCTCTGGCACTTGGGTCCGACTCCAAGTACAAGATGACAGCAGCCCATCCCTAAAGGAACACACAGACCATAGTACGATAAAAGTAAAAATAACAAAATCAAAACCAGTTTCAACTGACTAGATTTGCTCAGACCTTCACACTAATGGCCAGGTGTAGACATTATTCATCTCTCTCTACTAATCTCCACAGATGTCTGACATTCAGTCAAAAATTCTAAGACTAAAAGAAATGTAAGAAAAAACCCATTGTGAAGAGATGAAGCATGATGGAACTAAACTCAGAGACTCCCAAATATTGGAACTGTGAGGCTGAGACCATAAAGTAACTGGGATTGAGGTGTTAAAGGATTTGATGGAAAAGATGGACAACCTGCCTGAACAATGGTAAATTTTAGCTGGGATGGAAATGCTAGAGATGACAAAACATGCTAACAGCAATGAAGAATGCCTTTGGTGGGTTCATCAATAGACTTGGCACAGCTGAGGAAAGAAGGGGAATTTGAAAATAGGTCAGTGGAAGTTACCCAAAGTGAAACACAAAGAGAACAATAATAAGTGAATAAAACAAGACAGATGAATCAAAACCTGGGGGATAATATCAAACAATTTAACACACATGAAATTGGAATTCCAGGAGAAAAAGAGACAAAGCAGAAGTATTTGAAGAGATAGTGGCTGAGAAATTTCAAAAATTAGTGAAAGACAATAAATCACAGATCTAAGATGCTCACAAATCTCCAAGTAGGATAATTTACAAATAAAACACCTAGACACATAATAGTCAAATTACTAAAAAACAAAGACAAAATCTTGAAGCTAGGCAAAGAAACAGATTCCCATCCTTGTTCCCTCTCTTGTTCTCTCTCACTCTCTCCTTTTTACAACCCTAAAAAAAAAATAGGGGCCATACAAAATCAGGCCATAGGTTGGATTTGGCCTGCTGGCCATAATTTGCCAACCCCTAGTCTAAAGCAAAAACTGGAACAATATATTGTGAGATTCACACATATATAAAAGTAAAATCTATGACAATAAAAAAAAATCTGACAATAACACAGCACAAAGAATGAGGGAAGAAATTGAAATATAATGT